AAAAGTCCCAAGAGAAAAATTTTTCCCCCCTTCTCACCCTGAATTCGAGTTAACCGTGAGAAATTCGTTATCGGGAGTGAAAATTTCATTCGAGATATCCGGAAATTCGAGATAAGCGAATTCGAGTTAAACGGAGCATTTAACATGGTGTCCTACGGGGTTCCGCCGGGACCAAGCTTTGAACTTCGAGATAAGCAGAATTTCAACTTATCAGGATTTGAGTTAGCGAGTTTTCACTGTAGGTTCGAATGAGGTTTTATTATTTCTATTTCAGTTGAGTAATTCCTAGCCATCTGATAAAGTAAAAATAACACCTATAAACACGCAAAAGAATAGCACTGTTCCATTGAGCAAAATTATTATCATAATGCAACAACTTTGACTCAATTTCATCCCTGGGATGAGGTTGGACTGCAAAGGGTTAAATCATTTGGGAAAACCATTCCTTTTTCCAAAAATGTCATAGGCTTATTTCAAAACTGCAGTCCAGTCACAGTTCAGTTTCAGTTTTAGTTCAGTTGTAGTTCTGATTGGAATTTACTTGTGATACAAAATACGAATTTGACAAGAGCACAGTGGAACTTCACTCAGACCAAAGTCTGAACTGAAACTAGAGCTGAACTACAGCTAGAGCTGAACTGCAACTGAACTGCTGTTTTGAAATCAGCCATTGTGTAAATTTGGAACTGCCAGTGTTCATAAGCTCACATTCAAAGCTTTCAATATATAAATTGGTTAGTGTTTTACTTCATGTATTGTACAATGTCATATACAAGGTTAAAGGTCACCAAAAAATGGCAATTGTCTTTTGTGAAAAAAAAGCCTATGGGATTCAATGGAATGAATTTACACCTGGCACATTTTTAGGTCATATATGGATTAACAATTACTACACTTTAGTTGTTCCCCAAATTTTGTCCTGGAAATTGTGCACACGTAAACATTAAAAAATTCTGATAATCTTTTCAAAGTAAATAAATTTAGTGTTGAAAACATGTTCACATGACTCATATGTCATTAAACAAAAGGGCTTGAAGTTTGGTTAAATGGGGCCTGGGGGAAGGGGGGCAATAATTTTTTTGTTGGTGGTTTTGAAATATCAGGCTGGGTTCTTATAACCATACATTTAAAAAACATTTTTTAGGAATTTTCATGTATACTTTTCCCAAATTTCAATATTTTGATGTGGTATAACCTATTTTGTTGCCAGTGTGGTATGTATTTTTATTTCTGTGATTTCCTGAATTCCACTTATTTTTAGAGTATACATGGGAAATCTAATTCCCTCCTTGGAGGAAATGAATTGACAGCCAGCATGGCTTCTGAGATAGGAAGTCTTGTGGTTGGTTTGAAAAGACCTTGAGGTTCATTTCTCCTCCCATCAAGAATGAAATGTCTACAACAGTTTTCCCGCCAGGAAATTTATCACTGCTTAAAACTCTGTGGATTACTTCAGTCATTCCTCATAGTGGAATATCCTATACTCTCTTTTTGTCCCAAGCCTTTCAGTTGCAGGTACAAGCAAGTAATAGAATTATATAGGTAGAAAGTATTGAAAGAAGAAATTGCAAGGATTAGCTCAAAGATGGACTTGATTCTAAGCCACTAAAGGAAGTGTTCCATCATTTTGCATTACCTGAGCTGACCAGGCAACATTTTGATAGGGATTCTAGCCCACGCCCCTCTGCATGTGACTGGCCATGCTCTTTCATGGTGCCTTTTTTTTAAATGGTATTTGTCACAGGCTTTGGAATATCCATTGGTTGCTCTCCCTTCAACTCATTTTGGATTTGCTCTTGAACTGTTCTATGAACCCAGAAAGGCTGTTACCCTATTATTTAGTTAAAGTTCTGTACTTAAAAGAATTGCCTCATCTGAACCCTTGCCAAATCTGAATGCATCTTTGCATCATGCCATATTTTCAATCGGGTTCATAGTTACAAACAATGACTTTCAAGGGTTTTGAGAGTTTGCAGGAGATATAGGGGTAAAGTGATTTAAGAGAAAATTCCTCCTTTAGTTCGGAGGCTCTGAGAGTTGACTGAGATTGAAAAGTTAAACAGCCCTGTTGGGAAAAGGGAAAATCAGGAAACTCATGAAGTTGTTAGGATTATCTGGTCTAAGATCTTTGTGAGATAAGCCAATTTTAAATTTACAGAAATCTATCACTAGATGAAATACTGAAATATTTGTTTGTAATAGAAAGTTGCCCAATTGCCCCTCCCACCCATTTGCCAACCTCATGTTTCCTGCATGTTTCCTCCAATTTGGTCATACTAGCTCATCTGGGAGCCAAGTCCATAATATGGGACAGCATAATAACATTGGGAATTGTTTTGTCTCTGTCAGTTGAGGTATGCCAAGGGAGAAAAACCCCATTCATAGGCCTATTCAACAAGCTGCTGCTTCTTTTCATTTTTAACCTGGGTGGCAATGAAAAATCTGAAATTATAATTGGGTAGCCTGCCTAGTCACTAGAGCCTAGCCAGGACTCTAAAGGCATATGGTATAATATGTGGTTTTTTACTCTTTGGACCATTACAGATATTTGTGTTCTGAACAAATGAAGTTAGATGTATGAAAATTTCCTTTGAAAATCCATAATTATGGGAAAGTCATACTGCACAAAAAAAGTTCAATGTGCCATCCTCGGTGTGCAATCTCATGTTGTGTGTGGTGTAATTTTGCACTACAGCCTGCAGATTATACCGAGAAATGAAGTAGACTTCACTTTCTGTGGTCACTTTCTGATCTCCCAGTGTACATGGATTTAACTCAAAGACTTTGTCTTTTAGGTATCCCCAGAGGAAATAGTTACATAGAATGAGATTGGGGGACAATGATGGCCATGCCAAAGGCAGTGAACATTGTGTTAGACTTACAATGCACAATAACTTTGGCACCAGAATGCTATCTAGCAGATTCCCTTATGTCCACAATGGTGAGTTGGTTTGGCCATCATTGCCCCCCTGATCTCATTCCATGTGACTATTTCCTCTGGGGATACCTAAAGGACAAAGTCTTCAAGTTAAATCCATGCATTTTGGGAGACCTGAAGGTGACCACAGAACTGACTCCATTTCCTGGTATAATCTGCAGGCTCTGGTACAGAATTACACCACACACCTACGACATGTGATTGTGCACAGAGGATGGCACATTAACCCCTTAACTGGGAAGTTTTTCAATGAAAGCATATTTTAGCCTATGGGAGGTCAGATGTCAAAAGAAGACTAAGGGTTAAGTTAAGGGGTTAAACAATTTCTTCATGAAGTATGACTTTCCTGTAAGCAAGAGTGCAAATTTCTTCTGTGCAATGCAATTTTTATGTTTGCACTCAATTCAGCAAAATGCATCTGTCAAATGTGATTCATGGTGTGATTTATCATTTATTGTTGGATAATGAGAATGGAACTGAAAAAATAAATATCCAAGTCAAAACCTATGAGATGCCTAAATTTGGTGATTTGAAATGGAGTTCAAAGGAGTCATCCCTCTGCTGGCTTATTAAAGTGAAACAAAATTACAAGACAGTAAATCAATTTGCATACCCCTTCAAACCAGTCAGAAAAATCTAATAGGATTACCTCATGATGCTGTATATATATTTGTCTGGTACCAATAGCATAGATTGACTTAAGGTATTGCACCTATGGAATGCATTTTTTCCTCCTCTATTTTCCAGGTGGTGTCACCTGCCATTCTTCTCTGAGCTTGCCCCAGGATGTTTTGTGCGTATTGGGATTGGAAACAATGCTGGCAGGCCTGTTTATAGGGTAAGTCCCTCTTCAGTCTTTGTCAAACTCAATTTGTTGAGGGTGGCAAGGTGCTTATTGGTGCTTCTTCTAAAGCAGTAGTTTTCAAGTCTTTCATTCCATGCCCCTCTTTAAGAACAGACCTCTTCATTGTGCTCCTCCCTCTGGCTTACCAATAAGGTGGGGGTAGGGATAGTTTGTGAGCACTTTTCTTGTATCTTTTGTCCTATCCTCAGGGCTTGCACTAATTTTCTTGCCTTAAGGGTCCCCAGGGCTTCTCCAATCTTATAAGAAAGGGTTGCTCTTAAAAATTTGGGGGTCCCATCGCAATTGAAGCGTGATGAGATTATGCAAAGTTGCACAAAAAGTTCCAAATCCCACAGTCAATGTTTTTTATTTGATTTAACATGACCAAAAGCATGATATTCAATCCAGCAGCCTTAGGACTACTTCCAACATTTTCTCTTTGACAAATATCCATAGGGCATCTTCAAATTTACAAATTACAAACTTCTGTATATTACAACTGCCAGATGCTGAGTAGGGATTTTTCTTATTTGCATTTGAGCAGAAATCACAGGAAGCTCTTCCATCTCTATGGGAAAGCCAGGAATACATTTTGACCCATTCCATTTTAAAAATCTATTTTCCTTCATTGTGATTCATGGTTCACAAGCTGCCCATTTTCATAATCGCCCGCGTTCATCTCTTTCCCTTCGGTTCGACTAGGTCAAAGCCTACAGCAATCTTCCCTTCTCTGTGCACCCTAAGTGGAACGATGACATCACCTTCGTTTAGAATTTATACCTACGCTGTTGATACCTTTCTTTATGTCACTAGGCCCATGTTCAGGAACATCTGAACGTATGCCAACATGTGATTAGAATAAACTAACATTGTACATTTTCCGCTTGTAACTGAACAAGAGGGGTGTTGGCCCAAACCGCCCTGAAGGAATCAGTTTGGATTGGATAGGATGTAATGCAAGGCACAGGTATCAGGTTGGTCAAGGCTGCATGAACTCTCCTCTCGATAGATTTATTGTTAAAATATTATTGGAAATCATGAGGTATTAAGAGATGAAATTATGGATCATGATAGGTACTGTAATGAGCATATGATGTAAGAGCTTAATTTTTAAATTTTCATTAGTCAAAATCATCCAAAAATTTTATTTTTGATAATGGTTGATATTCCACAGACTCCATCACTTCAGAATTTTATATTTGTTATGGATCTCTAGGTCTAGAGGAAAAAATTTGGACAAGTAAGTATCAACTGAAAACGCTTAGTGGTGAAGTTGCAAGTGATCCCAAAGCAGGTATGAAGAGCTATCTATGCTGAGGAGACCCTAGTGGTATAAATGACTAATTTGGTGTTAGTATGCTTTGCGAGTGCTTACTTGACTTCTCTTATCTCTGACAATGAAATATCCTCCTACCCCTGGAAGACAGGGTGCAAGACAACTTCATTTCACTGTGTGTCATCTTTGTCATTGTAGGTGGCTGAAATCATGGAGGTGTGTGAGACAGCCAAAGTATATGACCTTGGAAAGACTCGCACCAACAAAGGTCTTAAACTCAGGTAAGGATTCACTAACACTGTTGCTTCTGTTCCTTCTTAGATGCTGGTTCAACTTCAGAAGAAATGAAAGCTGATTGTATACTTTTCTTCCATAGGCATGGTACCCAGGAGAGAGTTTTCAGACTGGAGTTTGTGAGTAATCAGGAGTTCTCAGACACTGAATTTGTCAAATGGAGAGAGACAGTTATGCTTCAGGGCCTCACACTTCCAACTGTGGATGAAGTTGAGAAGAAGGCAAAAGAGATAGGAAAATATCTCCACTATGAATTTAAGGAAGAAGACATAGAAAAAGTATGCAATAGTCAGAGACATATGCTACTAGTTGCATTATATACCTTACCTGATGCTGACATGCTGCACTGTTTCATTGTGAACTTATCTGTATTGTATCAGATTGTAAGAGAGAAGGAGAGATTCCGCAAGAATCCTTTCAACTATGCCATGAGGAAAACTCAGCTCCTCAAAGAGAAGGAGATGGCTTCAGCATCAGGCAATGATGAAGAAATCTCTAGGTTAGATCAAGGATTTGACTTTTTAGGTTATGACATTGGACTATGCAGGAATAGAATGTGGTGGTAATTGTCCTCTTCACTCTTCAGAGTAGTTCCTCATTAGCAATGGATCTTTCTCCATCTTAGCAAAAGATGAACCATTATGAGACTTACTATTAAAGTTCTGGGAATTGTGATACCCAGTCCACATATGCCTTTTCCATATAGGGCAGTCCCAAAGTTACTGACGTAACACCAGACTCAAAATGGGAACAATTATGATGGTATACCTTGAAGATGGTTTGATCCAGAAATTCTTTAACAGTGCCTTATGCAGGGTGATTCAAAAGAAATAGTGTAATTGAGACATACAGTCGTGGCCAAAAGTTTAAGACCACCCCTCAAATTTTAGTTTGAGGCAACAAATCGCATATTTACTCGGAATTAATCTTCAAGAACTGATTTTATTGTTTGAATAATCCAACATCAAAGGCTTTTACACTATAAGCACATGCTTTTTTACAGAATTCTCAGAACAGTCAATATTTAGTATGTCCTCCATTTACTCGGAATTAATCTTCAAGAACTGATTTTATTGTTTGAATAATCCAACATCAAAGGCTTTTACACTATAAGCACATGCTTTTTTACAGAATTCTCAGAACAGTCAATATTTAGTATGTCCTCCATTACATTTAATAACCTGCTCAAAACGTCTCTGCATGCTTTCCACAAGACTTCGGCAATACTCAACTGAGATTTCGTGCATCCAAACATCTTTGATTGCTGTTTCCAATTCTTTGGCACTACTTGGCTGTTTATCTGCAACTTTGTCCTTGAGAACGACCCAGAGATTCTCTATGGGGTTCAAATCAGGACTGTTCCCAGGCCAGTCAAGGACTTTGATATTCTTCTTCCTCAAGAACTCAGTCACAATCTTAGATCAATGGCAAGGCGCACCATCCTGCATGAAAATCTTGCACTTATGTACAGCCATGTGCAGCTCCAACTTGTCTTTCAGTAAATCAGCGTACTTTTGGCTGTTCATGGTCGTCCCGGTTGGTAAGAAAAAGAGTCCAGCTGTTCCATTGACCGACATGGCGCCCCATATCATGACACTCGGTGGGTGTTTCATCATTTGAATGGTGTACCGTTCATCAAATCTTTTTCCAGTTGGCCTCCAGACATAGCGCTTGCATGCGGCAAACTGCTGGATGGTAGATTCGTCTGAAAATAACACTTGGTTCCACTGTTCAGCGGTCCAATTCATGTGTTTTTTCACAAAGGCCAGGCATTTGATCTTCATAGCCAGTGTGAGATGTGGTGTTTTTGCCGGTTTGCACGATTTCAAGCCAAATTCTTTGATCAAATGTCGACTCACAGTTCTGCGACTTACATCCGTACCTATTGCGAGAAGTGCTGACCATATCTTGCTTGAGGAACCTCATTGGAGACCAAACAGCTATCCTCCTTATGGCGTGGTCGTCCCTCAGTGTGGTCTTTCGTGGACGCCCAGACCACTTTTTGTCCAAATAAGTCCATGAATTCGCAAATTTCATGACTGCATTGTGAACGGCAGTCTTACTACACTTTAACTTCTCACTAATCGCTCGCTCAGAATATCCTTCCTGGTGAAGAACCATAATTTGTGCCCTCTGGACTTCCGTGAGTGACGCTTTTTTACCCATTTTCGTGGGTTTTTAGAAAAGGCAAAACACAGCGAAATGCAGCGTAATGAAGTGTTTACTGTGTGATGGTCAATTGAAAAGTGACTACAATAGGCTGATGTAAGGATGACGCAATCTCATGCAATCGATTTCATTTCTGATGCAATCACTGTGTTCAGAAGAAACAAGTACATTTTCTCAAGGGTGGTCTTAAACTTATGGCCACGACTGTAGAGATGGTTTTGGCCAGAGTTATCACCAACAAGTAACTTCTTTTATTTTATCTATATATGCGTATGTATGTATATATGTATGTATATATTTATTTTTTTAAATATGGTAAATATTGGAGTATAGACATTACCCTTTCATGGCAGCTGAAAGTATGAATGGAATATGTGGTCTGGACTGAAGGGGGTTAATCCCTATTGCTTCCAGAATTAATCAGGAGTTGCAAGAATTGGAGGAGAGAGCAGAGGAACTTGACAAGATGAGAACATCTTCACTCAAGAGTATCTCCTACATCAATGAGAGGAATCGACTGCGAAATGTTATTGAGTCAGAGAGAGCCATAATAGTGAGTGATTAGGAATATTTCTATCTCTTCGGGTATATAGATTTGCTTGTAGCATATGATTATATTTATAATAAAAAAAAAACAAATCATCTGACCAAAACCCAGTCTAATATTGAGCCTCCTTTGGTCACACTCATAAGAGGGACAGTCAAAAAATGTTTTAAATTTCACACTCACATGCATGTGCAGTGGTGGAACACGAGCTTTGCTACTGCAGCTTCTCAACATTCTATGTCCCTCCCAATGTCAATGCACTTTTCCAACAATGTGGGAGCTTCTGGAGGCCTTCTGCGAGCCACTGTTTTGGTGTGTTCTGCACCCAAGCCAGACTGCTTCTTGTAGAGCCCCTGTGGTAGCAAAGTACTGCCCCCACAAATCCTGTTGCTGTCAAATAACCAATAATCGCTGGGGACCAAACCATGGTAGTATGGGAGATGGTGGACCATCTGGAACCCAAGTCTGGTGATTGCCTCCGTAGTCTGTTTGCTTGTGTGTGGGCAAGCGTTGTCATGCTGGAGCAGCACCTTTGTCACTCATTTGCCATGGTGCTTCTGAATAGCCCTGGTTAGGAGCATCAAGGTGCTCACATATGCATTACTGGGGATGTCATTTGAGGATGCCATTCCTTTCAAAGAGGGTTCCTTGAAAGGTCACACCCAGTTGTTAACTGTCTGGACAGTTTGTGGCTGTTCACTGTGTCACAATGGCTCAGTGGATGGGGGTTCAGGCACATGTGGGAGGTCCAGGTTTAAATCCGACCGGCTGTATTCTCCTGGGCCAACAGTTCACCTGCTTGCTTTCGGGTACTACTTGCTCTCCCTTGGGCCGAAGCATAGGCCACTCTATGCTCCATTGTGTGAGAGGTAGGGGCTTAGTGCAACTCAATAGCACCTGCCACATCAGCCCTGGTGGCCTGATGTGCAGCCGGAGCAGCATTGAAGTTGCCACCACCTTCCCTAGGCCCATGAAAATGGGATACATCATGACAGGAAGTGTGAGAAGGTGGGGCAATGCTGTCAGGGATGTCCGATAAGAATTCCCTTTCCTCTACTCTGTGTTGCTGCTTGCAGCATTTATCCATGTCTGTGTATGTCCATCTCAGTCCACTTTTTATTTAAAACAAAATTTAAAAAAAGTTTGTGGATGTTCACCACAAATTGTTTAGAACCTTCGCATGATGTCTGTGGTCACAGCATCTTCCTGCCACAGGAACCAAACAATCCATCACTCCCCATGCTTGTTTGCCTTCATCATTGTCCTTGTGTATCATCACCACTGAGTCAATCTCCTGTTCTCAGAGTGACTTGGATTGGAGTTTGTGCTCACCTTGATCACTATGTGAGGGATGATACCCAACCTTACACTGTATACAGTTGAAAGTTCAGAAGCATATATGGTCGTTTCATGGGAGAAAAATTTTAAAGACTTTATGACTGTCCCTTGTATATTGTGCTGGTGAAATGATCACCAGAGGCTTTTTGCTGGCTTCAACACCCTTGTTAAGCACTGGAGGAAATGTGTGGAACATGATGGAGGTTATGTAGAAAAATATAACATGCATGGGTAATTTGGCAAAACACTTTTATTCAGTTTGAATCATATCTCTGTAACAGCTCATTAAAAATAACATTACTTTTGGAAACCCCTCATACTTCTTTCCAAGTGTTTTGCCAAATTACCCATGCATGTTCTCCATCATGTTCCACACATTTCCTCCAGTGCTTAACAAGGGTGTTGAAGCCTGCAAAAAGTCTCTGGTGATTGTGCCATCTAGATCAGATGGGAAGCAGTTCCCCATCTGTACTGTCCTGACCTATTGATTTCCACCACCCTTTGAAGGAATCCCTTTGTGGTGTGCACTTTGGAAGTGACAAAGCCTTGAAACATGCTAATCAGGAGTGACTGAAGCTTCACTGGAGTTATATCCTTGCAGGCTTTGATGCCTTTGTTGAACACTGAAGAAAATGTGTAGAACGTAATGAAGGTTACAGCGAAAAGTAGTACATGTGTTGGTAACAAGGGTAACTTTTGTTAAGTTTGAACTCTATATCTGCTACAGTTCACTAAAAATAACTTCAGTGACATTACTTTTGGAAACCCCCTCACACGAGGGGAGGCCAGAAAGTTCAATTAATTTTAATGAAGGAATACATTTTTTTTTTTTCTTCATATCCTCTCCAAAGCTCATCTATTCAGGACTTCTCAACATGTCACCACCTATATCAATGCATTTCTTCAGGCAGTGGAGCCATTTTTGAAAGCACTCCTCAAAATCCTTCTTTTCTAGCTTTTCCAGCTTATCATTAACCGCTTGAATCACGTCCTCTCACGTTTTGAAGACTTTTCCACGCAATGACTCCTTAATTTTTTAAAAAGCCAAAAGTCACATGGTGCTTAGTCAGGTGAGTATGGTGGCGCTTTTATGAAATTGATGCCAGAGGTGCCAAGGAAGAGTAGTGTCTTTGTGGCTTTGTGTGCTGGGGCATTGTCATGATGAAGAAAAAACTCCTGACTTGGGGGTAACCTCTACGGAGTTTTTTGAAGACTTCCATCAAGCACGTCTCAATGTACCATTGAGGTGTCACTGTCTGGCCCTCTTTGAGTGAAATGGCGGTGATGATGCCATTGTGAGAGGAAAAAATTGCAAACATGACTTTGCCGGCAGCAAAGTCTTTCCAGTCTTTCTTTTTCTTTTCTGAGAGAAAGTCTGCCGATCGTTTACTCCACTCCATATCACTGATTAAAAAAAAGGCAATTATTTAATAAATTTCTAGAGGAGCAAGAATTCACTACTCAGACTGAATTATGATAGTTGAAGAATGTTCTCCTTTCCACTATGCACAACACTCATTCATTTGGATACTCTAGCCAGTCAGTGAGTCACATTCAAAGTGCATCAGTTTTAGGGCCTGCAGTGTATGCCATGGCTCAAAAGCAATTGGACTTGAGTATTCAAGAGAATGTGAATCTTTTCAAACGTTACAAGATGCCTAAGGTTAATCAAGGAGAAGCTGCTGCTAAGCTTGGTGTCTCTGTCACACCCACGCAGCCTCGACAGCGCTCCACAGGACTCTTGAACAGCGCAATGGTACAACAGAAGATTATCATTTATTTTACAATATGGATGCAAAAATTGAGGTCCTCATAACTGTAACTTTCATGCAGGACTTTGGAAATAAAATAAATTTGGTTGAGTAAGAACTGCATTTTCAAGTTTTCATTTTTCCAGCTGCCTATTGTTATCACTAGCTTAATGTTACCAGATTCCTTTGCATCAATGCAATCACAATTAGCAGCATCAGCAATGTATAGAAAATACATGTTGCCCAGATATGTTCACATGTATCATATACGTTAACCATATATGCTCTCATGTATGGTGTTTCATATATGAATGCACAGAAAAATCATACATATATATGGCACAAATAACTGTCATCTATGATCATTCTATATGGAGTACTTGGATTGTGTGGATTTGAATGCAGGAGGAATTCCGGGAGACCAAGGGGAAGCGATCTGATGATCCATTCACCCGCCGCCACACCAAGCCGAGTATTGTTCATCGAATGGGAGAGAGGAATTCTTCAGCTGATGTGGCAGTAACAATGGCTACAGCAGCTGCTCCTGCTCCCAGAGCCACACAGCAGGAAGATGTGGAGAGAGAACAGAGAATGCTGACTGAAGTTAATGAAGTGGAGAAGGATATTCTCCAAGTGCAGCAGGTAAGCACTCAGAATACTCTTTCATATGCAGGGATAGAAAAATCCAGTCTCCAATTCACCAAGGGTGAATTAAATTGGCTGTGAGGTGAGCTTAATCAAGATGCCAGTTTGGAGATGTATGCCATGATCTAATGTGTTCCAGCAACTATTTACACTCTAAGCTGGGTGTGTAGGCCTCATTAACCTAGGTTCAAGGGTTTGCACAGGTGATTTTCATTGGGTACTTCTGCACTGCATAGTGTGGAGTCACACCTTGTTTGGTTAATAAGTTTGAATGAAATAACTCTGTACGACAAAGAAGCAAGTATATAGACGCAAGATGGTAGTATTTTTTATTGTCAAACTTGATTCCATGACTAGGTGAATTCTGGAAGCAACCATGTCACTTGCACTCTTTCATTCAGTGCCATACAAGATACATAGAATAATAGTTTTGCCTGTGGAGAAAGCTGTTGCTTATGGTTTTGTGCATGTAATATGCCTCATCCATCTCCCATCCCTAGTCTATTGATACTGAGTTTTTATTACACAGTTATCCTCCTTGTAGTTGAATTTGCAAGCATTAGTATGATGTGAATGTTTAAAATCATAAGTCTGATGTGAACAGTCCAAAGTTTCATTGACCAGATTCTCAAGTCAGGTCACAAAGTGGCTAGCTATTTATGAAGTGACTTTTCTAGCCCTGTAACAGGAACCTCAGCAAGTTTTAAAACCCCACTATGAGACCTTTTTTTTTTAATTTATTAATTGGACATTCTCATTATAGAACAAGGAGGAGGAAGAGACTTTGCAGAAGGAGGAAGGGAAGAAGAAGGATTCTTCTATGGATGATCTTTTCTCTGCTCATGATTTTGATATCAAGATAGATCTGGATGTTCCCTTACCTGGTGAGTGGAAAGAGATGTGGTGTATTCTAAATTGATCTGAAATTTCAAGCAAAAGAAGTGGAAGTAAAGTCAAACTCTATTATAACGAAACCTCAGTTATTACAATGAAAAATGCCAGGTCCCAGTGTAGAGCCCATAAGGCATGTTACATTTTACCCGTTATGGTGAGCTCGGGTATAGCTAGAACCTCAGTTATAACGAAGTCCATTCAAGGTCCCACCGACGAAATTGACCATGTTGATGTCCCTAATCCATCATTCTTAACTAGAATTTCCATCATTGGAAAAATAAGCCATGGTGAGCCATAACTTTATATTTCCTGGAAGTGGCATTCCTTGAGATTTTGTTATTGCTCATTGAAACCGCAAAGTCCATTATCGTTGCCTCACATGCCTTTTTCTTCCACAGGCCCACAGGCTGTGAATGTTACTCCAAAGACAGCAACTCCCTTCAAAATGGGTCCCAGGAGATCATTGAACTTGGAAGACTACAAGAAGCGCCGGGGACTTATTTGAGATCTGGGACACAATTTGTGAATAGTGTTTTGTCTTTGAGACAGAAAGGGATGTTTTCTGAACTGTACATGTGGATTGAGGAGGGTGTTCCAAGGAGGGCAAGCTGAGTGATACAAATAGGAATGAAGATCCTCCTCTGCCTTTCTTGACTTAAGAGAAAGAGACTTGGAACATTTTCCACCTCCCCTGCACCATTGCAGGGTGCTGAAGTTTACTGTGTTGTTGTCCACTTAAGATGGGAGAAGAAATGGAAGATGATCATGATCAATAAAAATCCTGATTGACTGCTGGAGTTTATTGTCATGCCCTTACATCACTCTCACACGTGCTGAGACAGTAGTTCTAGATTGGTAACCTAGATTGGTAACCTACCCTGGAGAGAGCAATCAGGACATGGGAGACATTAGATGTGATCGGCTGCTATGCAAGGTAATTACACATTGCATTGCTGTTGAGAACAGATAAGTCTGTCACTCTCCATTTCACCATTTTGGTTACTTACAATACAAATCCAAATATGGATCAAGTAGTGTGGTCGTGATAGTTGCCTCCCCGTTCCAAGTCTCTCTCTTGCATGCGTTTGCATGGAAACTGTGATATTATTTCAATTCTTTATTGTATTACTGGCTTGTGATATCTTGTACGTTTGTCTTTTGTGAAATATGGAAACGGCATTAAATACATGTATTTTCATTTTGACCATAAGTGCATTTCCATTTCACCATACACTCCCTTATTCCACCCTCTGTTTTGGATCTGTGCGAAGCCAAGGAATGATTCAGCTTGGCATTGAGGCGTGTGAGGAAGATAAGGAGCATGGTTCCTCTCCTTATATGGGCAGGAATGACAACCTTACTTTACGATGCTTCCCCATCCTCCCATCAATTCCCTCATCGGCCCATCCTTTGCCTCCGAAGGTAAGAAAAAGCGCTCATGTCATCGATAGAATGAGGCATTGCGACAGAAATAGGCACTGGATCGGAGAAGAATTCCAGACATCGATACGAGGTGGGGAAGGGGGGCAAACCAGGAACCCCTTATAAGGCAAAGCCTGGACCAGCCATGCGCTGTGCGCCTGCCTGGGCCTAAATATTCCGGTTGCAACCGAATATTTTATACTTCCTTATCGGGAGGATCCTTCTAAATCTCTTACTTTCATGCACTCAAAAACGTTTTTAAGTTGCTATGGTTCCTGTTTAGACAAATATGCAAGCTTATAATGTTCAAAGTTTCCCTTTGAACATGTTGGAATATATTTTGCACCCGCTTTTTTTCAACGTAGATAACCGGCACGGAAGCAACGTGCTCGGTGACTCACCGTCCCCTTAACGGAATCTAGTTCATTCTCCAAAGTCTTTGTATGCACGAACTATGAGTATGGATGGAAAAGGTAAAGAACTATTGCAATAATTATGAATGGTGTCCTTGATTTTAACGGTGGATGATGTAATGGGAATGAAGATGATGGCAAGGAGTGTAGAAGATGACGTCATGGCGGGAGTGTGGTCGTATGAATACATGCGAGGAGAAGTGAGACACTCGTCTATACTGGCCCTGTACCGGCGCATCTCTATCCATCCATTCTCCACTCGATCCACCATTACCTATCTGCCCCATCCTGTCCTAGCACATTCAGCTGAGCCTAGAGACCCGAGTATCTTACAACTAGGCTCAATACTGCCTCAGAAATGGTGAGCCCTAGGCCTAACCCGCTAACTTAATCCAATGGTGGAACGTCAGGTCCAGGCCCTGGAAGTAAAATAGTGAGATTACGGTAATGGAGATCACAATTTTTCGTCTTCAATCTGCACCCCTGGCCTATCCGGATGACCTAGGGCGTCAGGAAACGCAAAGGTCGAGATAGTGTCAGCGTTTCCTTGGGATTTATTCAACACCAGGCCTGTTTTGCCGTCAAGTACCTGATCGCTGCTAACAAAGTGGTAGTTTCCGTTGCTAACCAAGTCTGTTCACCGCTCATTGACTTAGTGGTTTTCACCTGAGTTAGACGGTTTTTCACTTAACTCGCACAAGTACATTGGACGTTCCTCATGCATGAGTGTCGAAGTCAAGTGAAAAAGTGTCTAACTGAAGAAAAACATTGTCTCATATATAAATGATTTCCCAAACTCCTATCCACTGATGCTATTCATACTATTTGCTGCTGATACCTCTATTCTTCCTACATCTTCAAGTCCTGCAAACTCAAATATCCTCCCCTGTTCTGATGCTATAAATTTACAGGCAGGTAGAAATGGCCTCAAGCTCAAAATAGAAAAAAAAAACAAAATCTCTTTCACTGGCCCCACATTTCTCTTTAGGCATTATTCAACCTTCAATAAGGTTTCATAAAGTCTTCCAGATTCAGGCTTGCAATGGAAGGACCATTTAAATCATGACTGTAAATCCCTTAAGTTATAACTTGCTTACTTGTGCAGACTTTTCCCTTTGTGCCTAGGCAAGATCTCTTAATGTGTCATTCTCTTTCTCAGTTATGACTTACTTACATCATTTTAGTCTGGGGACCAATCACAGCTGGGAATGTCTCCCATAAATTCATCCTTTAAAATTGTACAGTTCATTGCTTATCGCAAACCTCTCACATCAGATAGATTATTTGATATACAACTAATACAACTTCCATCCTTTATCCTTTTTTCTATCCCTTTATCATATCTTGAATTATGTTTATCTCTGCAAGTTCTCTGGCAGATTTAAAAAAATATATATATATATGCACTGTTACAACTGTGCTCAAAGAAGACATTCACATCACTTGCTGGTTCACACTACATCAAGGAAGCACACACCAACATGGGACCTGGCATTCTATATATTGAAGTTCCAGAAGTTGTTTCTCTCTCTTAATTTTCTCAAAACACATCAAATCTTGTCTCACTTGTTACCCTCTATTTTCATACTCTCACTTTTAGTAATTGGGATTTGCCTTTGGCCTCAGTAGTACCAGTGATAACCAGGATCATTGGAGTCACATTTCATTTTGCATAAAGCATAGGCCTAAGTTATCTCTTGTATCTTTCCTGTTGAGTACTCTTTGTGCAGTCATGCCCTAGATGTTTTGTAAGTCATTGTAACATTGATACCACTGTAGAATTGGTGAGGGGAGTGACTAGAGAGGAACTTCACTATGTGCTCTGATTACTGTCAGCTGAATAGATCTTGCCTATATCTAATGTATTAGTACACACTTCTTCCCAGTCTTTACAGTATCTTTTTCCTGCTCCTGCCCTGTGATCTACATGCCTTGCACAAATCATCTATTTATGTGCATTCCCTTGCAGTTTTATTATTTCTACTTTTGCTTCCATTTTCTGATTGTGCTTCCATTTGGAATTTCTAAAACTAATGGCTTTTTTTGTATTTTCTGTTTCCAAGAATTGTAGGAGTGTTGAAGAATGAGCAGTGCAAAAACATTACCTTCTACAAGGCACCATTTTATTTAAATACCCTTGACAAAAGCATTAGTTTTTGCTTATTTTGCTAGACTATGCACTACAATGGAGTTTTAAGAGAAGAAAGAGACATTCAGGGGAGAGTGGAGGGTTAATTAAAATGTTATTAATTTGTAAGTTAATCTAATAAAATTGGCAGCCACAATAATGCATTTTGTAAGAAAATGCATTTGCCTGTACGATCCTTTGGTCCTCCCCTACCACTCAGACTTTTGCCTCATTCTTTACTATCTTCTGATCTACTACTATCTGGGTTACAATTGATGTTTTGTATGTGCCTATCACAGTTTTGTATGTGCCTATCACAGTGTTGATGTCACAGTTGAAAATCAAGCAAAATTATTTGATATGGGTCAGATAGTTTTCTTAAAATTAAAAAATAAAAGTTTAAGGTCAGGAACTTTGAAGACCACTATCACAGATGAGATGTCGACAAAAGAGACTGATAAGATTGCTGTCTTCTGAATGACCAGGATTAGCATGGATTCAGGGAGCAATGTAAGAATGAGTCACAAAACCAAACTTTAGTGTTTACTCTCAACTAGGGATGAACCCAATCCAGGATTAGCTGGTACCGATACCAATCCCAGTGTCATGGTATCAACTGATACCGATACAGATAGCTCCTAGTGGCTGTCAGAAATGAAACCACAATACAGGACCAGGCCTTATGCTATGCTACCTTTGGCATAAAAGGGAAGAAATAAAAAATCCCTGGACACTAATGACCCAACATTTGAAGTTCCTGTCATTTATTTAGCTTTGGAGACATTTATGTTGACAATTCTTCTTCAACTTGAGTATAGGCCAAAACTTCCCCCTCCATTCACCAGGCCACCGAGAATATGTCGGACATAAGTACTACATACAAAGGACAATTGGTGCGAAGAGGAGTAGAGGTAGGAACTAATGTCCTCAAGGGATTAAGAAGTTGATGCAACTACTGTACAACCAGGATCGGTGCTCGAGGGGAGAGTTGGAGGCAGGATGGACATGAACACTAAGTGCACCTGTGCAAACCAGTCAACACAGGAAGGTAGGAGATGGGATGGAAGGGGGGAAAGTGAAGGAATGAATGCATATGCGAATAACACTGGCCCATTCCATTTGTACAATACCCCTTTCAAATCTCTCACATTCCGCTTTAACCATGCTCAAGCTCATTGTCTATCAGTTGGAGATTAAAAAGAAGTGTGACGACATAAGGAACCGAATGCCATTACAAGTGTGGTTTTTTTCATGAGATGTTCCAAAAATTTACACACTGCACATCAAGTATGGCGTGCAGCAAGAGAGAATAGAATCAGATCGGATTGGCCATATAGGTATTGGCTGATACAGATACTTTGGATCGGTATCGGTGTATCCCTACTCTTGACTGATTTTTTTTTTGGAGAAGGGGAGCATAACAAATTTGGAGGCAGAAGGTATGAAGATTGGTGTGATGTGGTATGGATTGACTTGTGAATTTATATTACTGGAAATGAAGCTCATTTTACAGCCCAATCCATTTTTGCTTTTGAGCTCTGGGAAAAATTAGTTGGAATTGAGAAAGACAGCCTCACTTCCCACAGCAGTAATTTGCAAGTCAATAGTCATTCCTAGTCACTCCACATAATAATACTAAAATAAGGTTCAAAGCCAAGGAAAGAAATACATAAAATGTCATGAAGTGGGGGAAAAAAGATGAGTAAAATTGCAAGTGAAAAATAGGAATTGAGAAGGTAAGGGAAACACTGGAACAAATGTCTTGTCTCAAATACTCAAAAGGGTATGAGAGCATAAAATAATTTAAATTGGTGTTGTGGAGGTAGAGGTGTTCAGGAATGTAGGTCAGTAAGAATTCAAGATACGTTTCAACTATACTATCGAGAAGAAAATGAAACCCCTGGATGAGGGCAGGTTGGAACCAGTCCTGAATTCCCATTACCTGCCCTGCCCCCCTCCGCTATCCCCTTTTTTTTCCCTATTTCATTCTCATTAAAACTTGAGTTGTTTCCTCAAGCGTTTTTTACTTCCTCTTATTTATATATTTTTCATTTTACATTTTGATCTCATATCTAATTTTTCTGCACCTAATGTTTTCTCACATTGAATTTTATTTTTTTTCTCACCTCCACCCCCCACTTATGGCTCTTGTTTTCCATTTTAATGATTTTTTGGCATTTGGGTTGTTGGTTTACATTGTTTCTCTGGTCATTAGTGGCCTACACACCAAGACATACAGAAAATCAAAGTCTGAAGGTTCTCTGATAACATTTTAAAACTTATTTTGGAGACCTGACTTGAATTAACCTCTCTCAACTCATTCCTTGGTGATACCACACCCCTTTGGTGATTCCAAGAAAATGATGAAAATCAACCTACTCCAGGGAAAGGGTCAATCTCTTGAACCTCAGAGTGTCAGAGCTAAAGGTGTCATCAGGGAAATGACTTGAACCAACAAAGTTTGAGAACTCAGACCTGGTCTACTTCCTCATGAAGATTACATTGTATGTGGATCATTAAAAAAGTAATGGCAATTCCTGTCTTAGCTGTCCATGTGAGCCTACACCTGCATAAACTGCATAATGCATGTGAAGACTGATCAATTTCATGCAAGATGCACACTTTTGATTGAGCAAATGTCAATGGTGGCACTAGTATACCCCGAATCAACATGAAAGAAGAAAGGTTGCTGTGTTTGGACGTCTTGATTAACTGAGCAACAGCATTCCTTTGTCCATTTTGGAACCTTTCTATCCTTGTACACTTTTCATTGTCATACACTACTCACCATACTGAGCTAACATTTGTTTCAGAATATCAGCTGGTTTAACACCTTTTGCCAGCAAAATCTGATAACAGACTACTTCTCTTCCTTGGTGCACTCAGAGAGCATACTTGACATGTTGATTTGGGGTACACTAGCAGCACCAGCAACATTTGCTCTTACAAAAGCATACATTCTGAGTGAAATTGATCAGTCTTTGTGTGCATTACATGGTTTCCTAGGTATAGGCTCACATGGATGGCTTAAACAGGAATTGCCATTACTTTTTTTTATGACCCTTGTGCTTGAGAACCTTTGCTCCTCATTCAGAATGAGGTTGCATCAGGAACATTGTGTCTGATAAATGGGCAGAGTATGCCTCTTTAACCACTATGGATATCAGCACTGAACTGTGAACCACCAAACAGACTTTGTTGATCCCGTCACAGGTGTCAATCCTCAGACTATTGCATGCCTGTGGTTAGTGCTAAAAATGAGGAAAATGTGTGACACCAATGCAGACATGCTTTCACATCTCAAGGAAATTTGGTGGTGCTCAATGAACCAAGGCACCAATACTTACACTTAATATTGAGAGACATTTGCCAATCGTTTAATAGAGGATTGGGCTAAGGTCAATGATCACTGGTTACATTTTTTTTGGTTTTCAAACTTAGTTTTGGTTTAGAATGAAAGGTTACTTCTTGCTCAAGGCAACATGTTGGCATGGTTGAGTCACTATTAAGGGTGGAATAATTTTTTGAGTGGGCACTATAGGAATATATAGAGGCCTATGGAGGCAATGATGGGGTGTATGCATGGGGCAGATGAATACAGAGAATGGGGATCAGAGTGAGGCATCATGTTAGAACATGGGAAGTTGGCATAGTTAGGGTTAGGGTGGCCATTTTGGGTTTATAGAAATGCCAAGGAAGCTGTTAGGAACAGTCAGCATGAGTCTTGTCATTGAGATATTGGCAAATGGCGAGAGATGTGTGAGACTACTGCCAGTTTCCTGAATCCGTATGGCTGCTGCCATAGCAGGAGAGCCCATGTAGATCCAAGAACCATTGCTTTTAATGTGTAATAAAGTCGCCTTACTGACTTTATTTGCAAAAATTAGTGTTCAGTATGTGATGTGGGAGGGTTACTTTTGCATTTCATCAGACTCTTCCCTTATTGGAGTTCACCAACAATTATTTACCTTAACTGAGGATTGGATTTGTATCAGTGTGCATTGAAAAGCTCATCAGGTTCGTTGTGTCACAGTGCTTTGAAGAGTTATGTCAATGTGTTGTGTGTGGACCACCAAAAACCAAACACCAATAAATACAGTATAGTGTATAGACCACCAGCCTAATGTAGACCACCAACAACTAGATTGCTGATGCTTACTAGATTCTTAGACTTTAATGCTGAAACCTCCTTAGTTTAATGTCCTAAGAATCTGTGGACTCCAATAGGGAAAAGAATAATCTGCCTTGCCTAAATGATGTTTCTGCATTTGGCTTTATTTCCTGGATCTGATCTCATGCACTTGAAGTGTCAATGTGTTTCTCTTCCCCAATACGAGTAATTTGTACGGTTTTGTTCCTTAATAGTCAAGTATTGGTCTTGTTACTCCATATACACAAAATCTGCAATGGAACAGCACTACTGGTATTTTTACCCTTATGATTAAAAATACAGTAGTACAGCTGTACATGTACAGCTGCACCTTCCATCCTAGTGGGAGTACTGCCATATGGACATGTCCCTTAATGTTTGTGATGATGACTTCTTGACTGATTAGATCATGATCTTGATTAGTTTCTTGAATGTTGAAATAACTTATTAGCATTTTACAGAACTTGCACACCACATGAAAAAACTAACTCCCATGTGCAGAGCTGACCACATGAATCTCATGACTGAAAGGGTTAAGATTGATCCTTCACGGATGTTTTGAAATGCAATTTATTAGATCTTGGTTTTATATTTTAAAAGTGTGAATCTTTGAGATGATAGGCTACAACTAGGCCTAGAGCCCTTATAGTATGGTAGCATTCTTGTGTCAGACAGATATGCCTTTGTAGTTGCCTATGTAGTGCCAGTGCTTGAATTCTATTGTTCCTTTGCAGGCCTCTGGTGTGACAGTAGCTGATGCATGCAAGACAACCTTTGAGGAGATCAAGAAAGACAAGAAACATAGATATGTGATTTACTACATCAAGGATGAGAAGCAGATAGATGTTGAAACCATTGGTATGTGATAACAGCTGGAGGAGAAGGCATTTGCTTTTGTCTAGAAATCTGCTTTAGCAAATTTGTAGCATTTTAGGCTCAAATGCTAGAATTTAATTTTGGTGAGATAAAGGTGACTTAACACATTGGTGACTGGCCCCGGGGGCTGGTCACCAACCGCTCGCGAGTGTACTACGAGATTTCTCGGGGCCCGTCACCAATGTGTTAAAGTTAAAAAGCTCTTCTTCCCACACAGGAGTCCATGGATTCTTAGAGGATCACTAAAGGAGGTTTCAGCATTTGAGACTTAATATTTATTTCAAATCATCATTGTTGAAGGTTTGTGAAAACTGATAAGTGGTGTAGAACATAATTGAAGCCCTTTTTTTCTTAGTGGCCCTGGTATGCATCCTTACATGTCTTGTCTTTCAGTCTAGGTCTATGGGGGAAATGAGAGAAAAATAATCTGTTGAGTCATTTTCTTTTATGGCTTAGTCTCATGCTACTGATCTCAGAAGTATAGTTCTAACTTGAAGCAGTTGACAGGGTTGATATTGAAAAACATTTATATTTCAATTCTGGCATTGCTGCTGTTGAAGTTATTGGCATGTGCTCTGTTTTCTCTGGGAAGCTAAAGAAATATTCAATCTTTCCTTCTCACTGACATACACTTACATAAGTTCCAATTTTGTGTCTCACTAGCATTCCTACACTTCCATTATTCATGGTACAGTTGACAGCATGTTGGAATACTCATGGGACCAGTGAATTTTATTCTATAATCTGGAGTATTCCAATAACCAAAACTATCTTCTGTACCGTACCGACTGTGTACAGTACCGACCGTACCGACTGTATTCCATTATAGTGGAGTTGAGTTCTTTTTTTTTAATCAGTCCAGGTGTGATTAAGAAAACCTGACAGTGAAAAGAGTGAGACTAAGTCTTTCAACAACATGAATGAGTGATAAAGTTAACTGATATATTTCAAGTTGATTCTAATAAGTCAAGCTATTCAAGAAAGAAACAATGTGATTTAAATACGTGTTCCTTCATTCAGGGTCAGACTGGCCCCCCAGGATACTGGGAAATTACCTTGGGGGCCCCCCCAAGACCAAATGCAGACTGGTGCTGGGGCCCCTAAACTGCCAGTCTGACCCTGCCCACATTTAGGCTCTGAATGCTATTTTTCAAATTATTTTATGTGTAGTAGCTTTGAAGCTCCAAGGGCCTTATTTATGCATGTTTTAAGGTTCATATTTCTTTTAAACATGGAAATCTAGGCCTCATTTACACTCTCTTGTGGAAAGTCAAGACCTACCCCAAAACGTGGTCACTACTGCACATGTCAATATGGTGCTGGGTTTCAAAAAATGATTATCAGGGTACAATCGTATAAACATGTTATTTGCTTGAATGCAAAACGTGTGATTCCTGATGGATCTGACCTATAGGCCATACTTTGCACCCCCTTGTTTTAGTACTTTTGACTACCTTCTTCTCAAAAGGTTCAATAACTTTTTTTTAATAGTTCTATAATGAATACAGATGTACATGATCCTGAAACTTCCCTTAAGTGACCCATCAGAATAAGGTAGGGTTTTACATAGTTCTCAAGCAGGGAAGGAGTTAGAGAGCAGTTGCTCTGTGGTTATACTCATTTTTTAATCTGTATACCATAGGCTGTATGTCAAGCTCACTGTCTGGTTGGTCCTCAGTTTTTTATGCATTTATTTATTTAGTTTATTTATTCCTTTGCTGCTTATCTTTCAGAAACTTTCATAATTGAATGTTGGCTTTGTATCTCAGTAGGCAGGAGCTCCCTTTTTTCTCAAACTTGTGGAAGCATTAACATTGCTCTCACCTACATGCAAATGCAGGATTTCCAATTTTGTATCTTGCTAGCATAATTTATACTCTGAATTAGGGTTGTACTGATGCCAAAATTTGGCTGATAAAGGTTCTTGATTGATGACTGATACCAATCTTTGTGCATGCTTATGGGATAGGTCTTTTTTGCAGAGTTATTATAATGAAAATGACATTTTGTGGGCAAATTTTAAAAATATATAAATGACTAATTTCAGTACATTTCCTTTCTGTTATGTAGGCTTTTATTTTGAGAATTTCCTTCTTTTTTTTTTTTTATCCCCCAAACAAAAAATTTATATTTGTGGTGGGAAACCTTTCCTGATCTGTTTTGGTCACCAGTAGATGATATTTGTGAAAGAGTGGGAGGAAGTCTTCCCAGGGCACTAGGATCAAACGTTTTCTGTGAATAATTATTCCCTCTGTCCAAGAAAGAGTTGACTTGAATTTGGTGCATCAGTTCTAGATTGAGCACAAAGTGAAAAACCTCTACATGATCCTTTTTTAAAATTAAAGTGTGAATTTTTCCAAAATACCAAAAATGTAGTGTTCCATACAACAGGAAAATTAGCCATAAATATCAGATTCTGTTTTCACGAAAGGTGTAAGGAAGAGATTTATTTTACTTCTGGTTTGGGCCATTTGTTTGAATCTATGTACCAGTACTGCTTTAGCATTCCACATGACTACATTTGGAAAAAGACAAGAAAACAAAGGCCACAGCAAGGGCTTCTTAGATGATTCATTGGAATGCAGCAGCTTCTCGCACGTGCTCCTGCATCCACTGCCATTTAGTAGGAAGAAGTTGCGCTTCTGACTGTGCCTCGCTTAAAGCCATGTGCTTTCAAGTTTCAAGTTCTGTTCTCTGTAATAAATGCAGATTGCATCTACTACTGTGTCCTTGTAGGAGTTCCCCAGCCTGCTACAAAATACCAGGAAATTGAAATAGGGAGAAGAGATATGATGTGTGTTTGACGCACAAAAAAAATCAGCTGTCCCAAAGATCGGTTTCACCAATATGGAAAACACCTGAATCCTCCTATCCACCTCTGATCTAAGGATCAGTCCAACCCTACTCAAATACAATTATTTCCCCTTTTTTATGCGACCAGGATTGGTCAGGAGAACATGACTGGAAAATGGGAATGATTAAGCCTTTTGACAGCATGAATGGGGTGGCCTATGACCAAAGACAGAAAAGGGCCATAGAGTCTGGCATGGATTGGAGCCATATGCATGGACGATGGTGGGGCTGAGTAAAAAAAAAAAAATACATGATATATATACATACATATTGTCCACCTTGTCCCATTGCCCACCAAAACAAGGAATAATGAATAAGATGCCAAGTGAATGTGCTATGCAATAAAAAGCCAAAAATTCAAGTTCATGAAAAATCTTTAAAATGTTATCTTTCAAATCATGATTTTTGCCAATGCCATGTGCCCCATGCTAAGACTGAAATTTTGCCAGTACTCTTTTTAAATTTTATTGGAATTTGTTGTTGAAGACAGCAATGAAAGAAGATTTTTTAAAGAAATAGAAATTTGAAAATGGTCACTGGATTCCAGCCTCTGCTGGGGTGAGTTACTTTTTGCATGTGCATTTGCAATACACTTATTCCACTTGGCTCTTAGCATGGTGGTATCCATTTTATTTATAACATTTTGGGAAGACCTTGGTTTAGCACAATGACATTTATTGAAGTTTCATTAGTATCAAAAACTGCCTGTGCACTGTGCAAGTACAGTAAAAATAGCAGTAAGTAGAGGCTTTTTGGTGGAAAGTCAGGAGTATCTTTTATTTTTTTTTTACCTTACCTTTAATAAATATTCTCTGGATTATTCATTGTCCTAAGTTGTGGGTTGGTTTGTATACCATTTGCAGGTGAGAGGAATGCCAGTTATGAAGATTTTCTGAATGATCTCCAGAAGAGTGGGTCAGGAGAATGTAGATATGGAGTGTATGACTTTGAATACACCCATCAGTGTCAAGGAACATCAGAAGTAAGTGTCCTTTCTTTGACTCTTTAAGAAGTCTGCTTCTTGCCCATGTGTTTTATGAAGACATATCTTTAGCATGCTAAAGCCTAGCTGAAAGACTGTTGCAATCCAGTCCCTGCCTCTAATTCATGATTGGGGTGCACCCCTGCACTCCAGTCATGGATGAGAGATGATGGAAGACAGAAAGAGGTATATGCTCTGTTCAAGGCAAAAAATTAAAAAAGTCAAACCTCTGCTCAATCACAATGAGAGATGATGGATTCCATTTTTGCCCCCTCCCCTAGTGATGCTTTAATGCACCATCTATAGTTGAGGTCAATATATTGATGTTTTCAAAGCAGCCATCATTTCAGCCTAAAAAGTAAAACATTGCTTTTTGATGGCCCTATTTGAATAAGTGTTTTGTATCATGATTTTTCTCTCGTTCTGCATGCCATAATCAGCCATCAGCCAAATATGGTCACCAATGCAGCCATACTTATATGCTTGCTAAATCAAAGGCAACAAATAGAGCTTTCTAATACACTCCACCACAAAATTCTGAGCAATGAAGGGGAAAGTAAGGGCTATATCCACTTGAATGCAATTGAAGGCTATGGCTAGGGGTAGAACTTCTATAGTTTATTTTTCATTTGGTTATCTTGATTAATAGAAATTGACTTATTTTGCTGTTTTATCAATGCAATTTTATCTTATTTTAATTTACTTGAACAAGTTCAACCAAAGAGAAGGGAATGGTGGGGATGGGGTTAATGTTACATCCCAGAATACCTGTTCACTCTTCAGGCTGTGTAGGCAGTTATACAGGTTGTTTACGTATTATCTTTACAAGTTGAAAGTTAATTATTTTGAAGTGAATAATGATGGAAATATGAAACAAACATCAAAAGATGCAAAAACAATTAAAGTTTTGTGCTGCATGGATACAAAGTTCACATTCCTTCTGCTGGCAGCACAGGAGTCACCTAAACAGAAATGATGGATTTCACGTGAACTAAGATAAACACAGTGCAATTTGTGGTTTGAAGGAAAACCTGCAAGTGAAACCTAGGCATGCTTGAGAACTTTCTAGTACCAGAATTGGAGGAGGACATAGGGAGCCACTTCCAACAAGATAGCCCCCCCCCCCTGCACATTTCCATAGTTCAGTGAGATGTTTCTTGGACCAAAAATACCCAGTACGTTGAACTGGCCATGGAGGTCCATTCGCTTGGCTTCCACAATTGCCAGATCTCCTGGATTTCTGTTTATGGGTTTTTTAAAGAGAATGTGTATCAACCTCTCCTGCTGACCAGTATTCCAGGGCTTTTGAATTAAATTGTAGCAGCAGTGTCCAATGTGGAAACAGATATGATATGCTCAAGAGAATTTGGCCAGAAATGTAATGCTGGGATGTGTGCCTCATCACATATAGAAGCCATATCAAAAACCTCTCAGGTCAAACATGAAGTAGTTCTGCATCTTTTGGTTTTCATTTTGCATGCATTTCTATCATTATTCATTTCAAAATAATAAGATTTGCGAGTTGTAAAGATAATCTGCGAACACCATGTATTATGCTCAGAATGCAGGAAATTGTGGAGTTTGTTTTTACGCATCGAGTTTTGGGCATTTTCTTTAAATAATGATTGAAAAATTGGTAGGAGAAGGGTCATTGGAGAAGGATTACATGGTGTTAAGGGGTAAAGATTAGGAGTTGGATGGTGGGCACCATGAAATATTAGAGGGAGAGGTATTAACTGATACCAGTGATATGAATCAACAACTCTTGACTGCTTATTCACCCCAAACCAAATTCAGACTTAGTTTCTTTCCTCCATCACACATGTATCCCATGAAAAAAACCAAAAAAAAAAAACCAGGAACCTGAAGTAGATTTATTTTTTGATTGTCAGTCACTTTGCTTGAAATATATTGTCAATTAATATTTTTACAATTCTCTAGCTTTCAGCCAGAGACCTAACACTTTTTCCTGGGTACTGCCATTTTGCAATGTGTGAAGGTTTTCAATGTCTTCTTAGTGCTTGTGTAGTAGTGATATAGTGATAGTATTGATATATTCACAATATCCTGCCGGTGATAAAAAAAAAATATTGATGTCAACATGATTTTTCCAGAGGGTTTTCTTTTATTTCAGCAAAGCTAAATTCATGCAGATCTGCTATACTTTGCAGTTCCTGCTTGAATCTTTCTGGTCAAATGCTAGGTTGTCTACCATCTAATCTCATAGGTGATGCTTTTTTTTTCGTGTATTCAGGGACTATGAGACCCGTTGACTTCCTGTCATTCTCATGCCAGTCATGATGGTAAAAAAATGATTTGCCATCTTCCCTTGCTTTTATAAACTTATATAATATATAAACTTATATTAAACTCATTTAAAAAAAGAACCCAGATTTCAACTTGGAAACTGCATTCATCACACAAGAGACACTAGGGCAAGATACCAAGATTAATATTCCAGGACTAATTGAGGGGTTTATTGTTTTCTGTATGATGTTTGGGAGATGAGAAGTGAATGTGAAATAAATCCATGTGGCATCGTGACTACTTGCAAGCTTAGCATAAATAGGCCTACTTACTTGGAGACGTAAGTGGGTGTTGTGAAACTGATACCACCATTCATGTTCTGTAACTAAAACAAAGACCATTGGCCTTCCTGTTTTCAGGAACATGTTTCTTTTTAAAATTTTGCACATGCTAGAACCCTGTTCCTTGTATGCCTGTGAACAGTGGTGTGGAAAATGTGCAAGAGTATGTGAAAGGATTCGCTAACACCTCCTGTTTGTCATAGAGGCGTTTGACAGTAGGCCTTTCAACATTGCTGCTCCTAGCTTCATGCCCTAATGTTAACACATGAGAGGTGCTGAAAAAGTTGCTTGACCATAAAAGTGAAATGCACAATGAAAAGGTGAAGTGCAGAGGCATTTATTTTACTCAATGGAAGTGTACAGATGTAGTTAACTCCTCCAGTTGGTAATTTTATTTGAGGTTGGACTGCTGGTTAACACACAAGGTTGTAAGTATTGGGTTTGTGGGAAAGTTCTGTCATTTTTGCTTATGTACAATTGTACTTATCTCCCAAATACGAATACAGCTATTGATGAATCATCAATTGTTTTTGCTTTTTTATCTTTATGGATTGGAACGGGGGTGTCAAACTCAATTAGACTGGGGGCTGGATGGGGTGATTAGGGGCCACAACAAAAATGTAACACTTATCTTTCATGCAAACAGGCTGAAATTTGCAGTTCATTTCTGTAACCAACTGTTGAAGAGGAATTCGCGGGCCGGACAAAATGGACTGGTGGGTCGGATCCGGCCCACGGGTCGCCAGTTTGACACCCCTGGATTAGAGTATAAAAGGATGTCATCACTAGCCGTATTCATGTTTGGGAGATGAGTCCAATTGTACATAAACAAAAACGACAGAATTTTCTCACAAACCCAATATTTACTCCAGTTGTGAATGTGCAAATGAAGCTATTCCTCTGTCCATGAAACATAACTTTACCTACTTCTGTACACAGTTGGGTGAAAGTCATGCATCATAGACTGCGGAATACTTAACCCTTATCTGGGCAAGTGGGGTCTGTTGGACTTCAAAGCCTCAATTTTCTAAACAGCAGTCAAAGTATTGCATATATTTAAATTTCTAAATAACTCTACATTCCTTTTGAAATACATGAGAATCAGCAAAGGAAAGATGTGAAAAACAGGTTTTTCCCTTCTGCTTTCCAGCACTATATACATAAATTAATATGAGGTCCAACAGATCCCACTTGCCCGGCTACATTCGTCTTTTACCTTGCCCGGATAAGGGTTAAAATGCACTTAGTTGAAAGCTGTAACACTTCCATAGGGCCTGAAATACTGCAGGATTTCTGGTGCAATGGTGGCAGTATGTGCCTAGATCAGGGCTTCCCAACCTTTTTCATGCAGGACCCCAAAAGTCACGATCATACCATTCAGGACCCACAGCAATGGCTGATGTTCAACATGCTCACCCACATTTGTGCTAAAATAGCAAAGAAAAACATAACTTGGCATTGGCTGTCAGTTCGTGACCCCAACTATGATCTAGGTGACCCCAGGGTTGGGAAGCCCTCGCCTAGATGCAATACTGAAGTTCTTATATTGGTCATGGTTTTTATTCATAAACAGTTGACTTCAGGTGCCCTCATAACAAGAAATTGAGTCCAGTTGGGGAGAGGGGTCTTTATGAGAAGAGGCTCTCAGGTGGGTGGGTGACATTTCATCCAGGCCCAAAAAAGGACCAGGTGGCATGATCCCCTAATGGAGTGCCATTTCTTAAGACCTGTAAAAAGCTGTCAGACCCATGCCTTCCTTTTGTCTCAAACCTGTTTTTTTGGGGATTGGAAGGGAGAGGAAAAAGGCCCGAGTATGACAGATGAAACTGCTGGTCTTTGTGGATTAGAAGTGGTCCTTTCTGGAATTGGATGGGCTGTTATTATTAACTCCTGGAGTCTGTTGTAGATGAGTCTGTTGTAGGGCAGTTAAGGATACTTCTTCCCCCCCCCCCTTTATTCAATCACTGATCAGAATGAGACAAGTGCATCAATGTCAGGTGAGACTGCATTTGAAATGAAATAACCCCTAACTCAAGTCTTATTCAGTTTTAAAACTGTTTTTGAACACCCCCTTGTACATGCTTAAGGGAGAGGATTGGATGATGCTTAAATTGGCATTAATGCAGCTCTCAAGCAATGGCCTGTAATATCACTGCCTAAAAAGGCTTGCTGTCTCTTTTTGGCCTAATGCAAGAACTCTTGCCCCTTTGTACACATGTGATGCCTTGACAAAAGATCCACATAGAGGAGAGACATTCATCAGTTGAGCAGTTGTAATTTAGTGAATCCATTGTTAAGGGATGAATGATTTATTCTTAATAGGCTTCAAAGAGGCAGAAACTGTTCCTCATGTCCTGGTGTCCAGATACTGCCAAAATCAAAAAGAAGATGCTCTACTCATCTAGCTTTGATGCCCTGAAGAAGTCCCTTGTGGGGGTTCACAAATACATCCAGGTGAGGCTGTCTATATGTCTCCTTTTCTTGGAATTTTTTGCAATTGAGAAAATCTGATGAGTGCCCAAGGGAAGCGATGTATGTATATAATTTGATTATCAATCTGGTGAAGGTTTGTGATGTTCCTGGTTGAATATGGTAGTTAAAGGAAGAAAAAAAACTTGTAAGTGATATTGTGTTGTACCATCTGCATCAGAAAGGCTGTGCTGCATTTTTCTTCTTCATTTCACCAACAGGCCTTCAGCAATTCATAGCTCATTTTTAGTTGCAAGATTTCATGATTAGTATGCCATTCAAGCAACTTGCTTCTCTTTTGTCTATTGCAGGCTACAGACTTGTCAGAGGCATCAGAGCAAGCAGTTGAAGAGAAGTTGCGAGCAACTGATCGCCAATAAGGTTCTTCCCTTATTTCTGTTTCTCTTGCTATTCATCATATTTAAAGGACTGTGCTGGGAAACAAGGCTAACATGGGGAAGAACAAGTGAAATGTGCTCCTGCTATTCCTCAAAGTGGAAAGTCAGCATGTGCATTCATCTGCAACTGCCTTCCCAGCAAAGACATTCTTCACTTTTTTTCTCTTCATTTTGTGTTTTCTCCCTTTACTCCATGAGTGTGCTTGTATACTTTAGCCAGGCCCTCAGTTTTTTTGTGTAAAGTAGCCCAGTGTCATTCATGTTGCTATGAAATTTGTGATCTATTTCAGCCAAAAAAGGGAGGATTATAGAGGTCATAGTTCCCCTTTGTTTTCAGTCACTTGTAGGAAGCTGAGCACCGATGAGGAATGCTCTAGCACAACAACTAACAAATTGTGCTGGTAGTCTTACATAAAATCATAGTGGAATGGCATTAATTCTTCAGTTGCCTCAAGCCCTTCAAAATGGACAGGCTTGCTGATGGAAGAGGATGAAGAATACTTGTTTGAGGTGAAAAATGAATTATTGAGTCTCTTGAGTTACTGTCAACTGCACAACAGACTGAATTTTCAAATGACAGCAGATCACCTTCCCAAAATGGGTTACTTTCCAGACTCCTTTTAGCTGAACTTAGGCAAAAACAGCTCTCTTTGGTCTTTGTGGGTAGGGAACCAAGTTTGCTTTCCTTGTAAATGAGGTCATTTGGTTTGGTAGGCTAGGTGGGAATGGAATCTCTGGGAAGTATTGGTGCTAGGCCAGCTTTTTAAAATGATCTTGCACCTATACTTCAAAAGTAGCATTACATTTATATGAAGTTTCAAGAATATGCATCAACTGTACTGGTGCTCAACTTCCTACTATCCTCTTGGCCATTCTTGTATTTCTGTTTTTGCATATTTATTTCAAGACATCTCATTTCACTTGAACCCAAAGGAAGATTCTCTTTTCCTCATGTATGGAGGTGATAATTGCAAAAGGGTTTTGAGGCAACACTATGTTAATAAAACGGCCTTTAACAAACATGAATCGGACCTTCCTGCTGTGGTGCTCCTTCCAGTGACATGAATGCCTTCCCATGGCTTGGATTGATTTCATTTTATGTCATGTACCAGTTGCACACTTTATTAAACTTTGAGGTGATTAGTGGCTCATGGCACAATCATCCCCTTGGGGCCATATATGCTTGAAGTTGAGAATTTATCCAATATTCAACCTGGACAATTTTTTTTTTTACAGGATTCCCTCACAAATGGCTAGCCATAATAACTTGTTTCTCTCCCTTCATCCAATGTCTACTGGTGCCTTCTTTCTCCCCATTCAGATGAATTTCGTGTGTTACCAGTGTGAGGAATCTTGCTTGGATGGTGTCGACTTTTGCTCAGAGGGTGACGAGACCTGACGCAATGTTACGTACTGTCTGTCTCTTTTTTACCCAATCTCTCAGCATAGTATCAATCAGGTGGACTTATCAGTCTATTCTTATTGTGGAAAATATTAGTGCGTCTTCCTTGAACCACAACCTAGCCATCTTTCTAGCTGGCACTGTTATCAGCCATGCTATGCTTTTCCAGTGATTAAAGCCACACCTTCCCCATGCTGTTTTGTATACGGTAATGAGAAATGCAGCATTAAATAAGGATTTGTTTCCTCTATGTTGTTGCTTTATCTACTTCCCTCTTACATACATATGCACATAACCACATCATGCAGATACTGAAGGAAATGTCACCTGTCTGGCAGTCTGTTGATGCCAGTCCTGGGATTCCAGCTGCATCCAAAGGCCAAAGGGTGACTGATCGTCTTATTTTGTGCAAGATGAAGTGCTGACATAAGTTTGGGGGAAAAGAAAACACTCCATTCTCTATGGATGATTCATCAGTGTTTTTCACTCAATGCAATAGAGAAATTGTCAGGCTCAATTGAAAAACACTATTTTTGCTACATCCCTTGTCTAAATTTCTGAAAGCTTGGATTCTTATGTATTCAATGTTTACTTGTTGGAGTGGAAAATAAAGTTTTCTGTTAAACATGTAAAGGAAAGCAAGCAAATTACCAACAATTAAAAAAAAAACTATTGCAAGTGATACAGCTGATGTTAGTTGCTAAAACGTATCATATACAGAAAAATGCTCAGGATTCAGGAGAATATTGTGCAGCTACAGCATCAGCATGTCTTTTAACACCATGTCATATTCTGATGTGTCTGGATTCCCTGTGGAGCTCTCAAAACTGGTGTCTGTCAGGGTGCATTAAATTTTGCAGCACTGACTTCTCTGGACTACAAATGAAATTCCCTTCATCTGATACCCAATTAATAGGAGGTTTCAGTATGAATGGAAGCAGGTTATCTTTGAGACTTGGATGTGACATGCCTGAATGTCACCCTTCCATGAATCTTATGAGTTCAGCTCTTACTAGGTGAAAGCCAATATATAGGATGGGCCAACATTTTTTTAATTTAATTTTAATTTTATTACAATGTCCATACTAATTAAGGTGCACTTTTAATTTTTGAGGATGAATAGCTCTTCTCTTTCTTGATTAAATGTAGTTTATTTCAAGGGGAAACTATCTATAGTTTTATTTTTCACAATTTTGTGTCACAAGGCTGAAAGTCACAGTTGGGCACACATTTCTCTTACATGCATGGATAGACATATTCTGTGCAGTGGCATTGAGAGATGCCACAGTAGTGCACTAAACTGACAGCAGTTGTTGAAGAAGAGGGCCCATTAAGCATCAAATTCAGTAATTAGCCCTTGGGGTAAATTTAATTCTAACTTCATTTATTGTTGCTATCTATGCTTTTCAGCATTATTCATTGAAGAATTAGAAAATTAAATCTATTTATATTAGCATGTCAAAAATCATGTAAGTAATTTTTTTTTATCTGATACAGCATAAAATCATTGAAAACTATTGGTCATATTGTTGTGAAATAAATTGCTTTCAATATGGAAAAGGTAGCACTATTCATCATTGAAAGTGCATAAGCTTGGCTTCATTAGTTTGGGTGTAGCAGTCAGATGAAAAACTGTGAACTTCTTTTGGCCCACCCTGAATATGCTTAATGGGATACATAGAAGAATGTTCAGAAGATGCAATTTTGGCAAAGCCACTAAGAAATCAATAATCCAGATGCCTGGTTGTCAAGGTTTTGCTGTTTAGCCTTATAGCCAACTGTAAAAATAGCAAATTAGGAGCAATAACAGCTTGCATTCTAGCCCTTATTAACATGTTGACTGCTGCATGACACACCAGTGTGTCACATTTGCCTGTAGGGAGGAACAGTGGTTCCAAACCCCTTGGCAGTAAATATGTTAAGGGTTAATATAAGAGATAACTTTTGATCCCTTCTCCAAAACTCAGATATAAGCAAGATACTTGGACCATGGAACTCCTGAAAGGCACCACTACTACCATATCCTTTTTTAGTGAAGCCACTAGGACAGGTGCACCACCTCCAGCCTGCAGGCCACCTTCAGCACATGAAGTGCCTTAGAGAACATCCAGGTTGTGCACCCTTGCTCTAGGACAACTGGCCTTAGTCCTTTTAGCCCTGGTCATTTTTGTGTTTCTTGTAACAAGTAAAGAAAAAGAGTATGTTAGCTTTTGAGTTGCTCTTCTTCCAGTTTGCTTTACTTTTGCATCCTGTCTTTCTCATTTTTCTGGACCTTGTAATCAGATAGGTGTTATTCTGTTGAATTGATTGAATCTTATCATTTTTGTCATGGATGACCATACTTGACCATATCAAATAGATAAAACCTATAATATCCTCCACATAGCAACTTGTAAAGAGAGAGATTCAATTAACTGAACCACCTCACCAACCAAAATGCTAGGCTTTTTGGTAAAACTTGTAGTGATGCATTTAATTACTTGAGAGAACTCAAAATTGGATATCTTGGGCATGGATGTTTGCAGCTTAAGATACACCTAGAAAAAATAATCCGAAGGAGACATGTTAAAAGAGTGTGGGGGTTGTACTACAGCACCAGGAATGGAGATGGCATGGTGTTGAAAGGCATCCTTCAGAAGGTTAATGGTAGCTCAAGGTACATGAGGGAAAGCTCCATCTTGTTGAAACCAGAGGCTTGGATTCAACAGCTATCTTTTCTGGTTTTGCACTTTTAGAAAGTATAACCATGTGTGTGACCATACAATGCAGCACTCACAGTGGTGGCATGTCCTCTCTTAACCCTTATCCAGGCAAGGGGGGTCCATTTTCCCCCCCCCCCCCCATTTCATTTCATTACTCTCTGCATTTTTTTCAAAATATTCTTCAAATTTGATATGGGTTACATAGACAATCATCCATAGATTCAAAACGAAAATTTTAAAGTTTGAAAGTAAATTTGATGGAGCATTTCATTTGGTGTACCCTATATAAATATCAGTTACCAATTCTTACATTTTCCCATTTTGTTTTGAATGATGAATTTCTCTCTTGGACAAAGGCAAGGAATGTAGCTTTGATACACTGGAGGGAATTTTTTGCTCTGGGGCCAAATTTCAACTGCCCATTTTGATCCCTTTGTGAAGTGGAGGTGTAAGATATTGATGGCATGCTATTATCAACACAGTCACAGTCCTTCTACCTGCCAAATTTAATTGAATTCTGAGATTGCTTTGATCATTGACACACATGAGGTGGAATGACCATATAGCATCACTACAGATATTAGACTTGATGTAACCACTGAGCTGATGGTATGATGAGAGGCAATTGTGGTTGAACCTGATATATTTTGTAAATCACATCAGTCAAAGAGAACTGTTTTCAAGGATTGATAGCTTTTCATTTTTTTCATTTTCAGGCAGATCCAAAGTTATTGATGTAACACTGCTCAAAATGAAAACAAGTATCATGGTATACCTTAAAGATGGTTTTGTCTGGAAATTCTGCTTCAACAGTGCCTTATACCATAATGCCATAGATACCTGCACCTACTCCAGCCAAAAATGTCTACTTTCTCCCATGGATGAAGAAAAGCAAGGCCATTCCTGTCATGTTAAAGTAACACTGTCTTAGTAACAGTTTTGTTCTTCTGCTTCCCTTTTAATTGTCTTATATGACTTGACTTGAAGCTTCCATGTCTTCAAAAAAGAAGGCATAAACCATCACTTTTCTTCATGCCAGATGATGCTTGTTGCTGATAAAAAATGAAGTGAAGGAGAGTTTTCCAGCATTACAGACAAAACAAATTTGCCTAAGTAAGGTTCACTGTGCTGGTGTTAAATTAATAAAAATGGAGTGATGCAGGAGAAGTGAAAAGTATCCCATCAGGTGGTGCATGCCTAGTGGATCATATTTAGTCTATGTTTAGTGTCCATACAGTGCAGATAAATTAAGTTAGAGAAAATATTTGGGAATACATTTTATACCACTTTTGTCCCAATTACTCTGGAACTCCCCTTTCAATGTATTTTGTAAGTTAATTTTTTGTTGTGCTGATTCAGGGAGGGAGGAATTGGGAGACCAAGTCCCAAAGTTAAATCTTGCTGTATGTAGATTGAATCCAGTGGCTTTCATGTATTTCATGTAATATGCTGCATATCTTGATATATCCCTATCAAGATAACTGTATGTCTGCTGAGTGAAATAGAAAGAAAAAAATAGCCTCTAATGCATTGGGCTCCATGGAAAAGTGTGGATTATGTGGTCCAGTACATACCTGGTTTTGTGATTTGCTAACCTAAAAAATACAGGTCCTTTTGAACAGTACATGAATGTTTATTGGGATCATGGCATTGCAAGACCACATCGTGAAGCAGGTTAGTCATTTGGAGTATCTCTTCTTTCTCATTGTCTTCCTCCCTTTCTTTGCATTCCTTTGTTGGATCAGGTTCTAGAATTTTTTATCAGTACTATGTGGCATAGTGCTCAATTGCTTTTGCTTCAGCCTTCAATTCATGGGCTTAGCCTGAGAATCTAGTTTTGTCCTTGAAAAACCTTCTTTCCTACCTGTTGAACTCATGGCTTTCAAGGCAGTGGCATGCACTCATTTTTGTTATTTGACTCCGAAGAGGTAACCCTAGGAGTGGGAAGTATCCACACTTCATTCTACACAGCTTTTATATACTGGAAATGCTGTGATTGATCTAGAGTAGGTCAGAAATGTGGAGGATTGCTTTCCAATTCATGGCGCTATGCTTCTGGCAGGCTCCACAGACAGCGTATTATTGGCCAAATTTCATCAGTGAAGAGGAGGAAGCCCTATTGTTGGAGAAGATATATGCTAGTCCAAAGCCTAGATGGACGCAACTGAATCATCGAAGACTACAGAACTGGGGAGGTCATCCGCATCAAAATGGCATGATCCCTGAAGACATTCCTCATGCAAGTATACTCTCCCTTGGAGTGTTCCCCTGGTTCCTATTGCTCCATGACAGCCCAATATAGCCTTTTTTCCAGTGGTTATTCCAATATTGCAACAGGGTCAAGGAGACAGGGATCTTTGAGAACAGGGATCCAAATCATGTCCTCATCAATGAATATCTGCCTGGTCAGGGAATCATGGTTAGTTGTTTTTCCTTTGTGGTGTCTTAGGTTCCCTTAATCATTTGAGAGGCATGCAAAATATTGATAATGCTTTACTAATGGGATTCTGGGTGTCATGATCATGGCATCACCAAAATTTATCATTTATAATAAATATATAAGTACACCTGAATTTTTTGGAAAATTTGAATAAAAAATCATATTCCAACCAATTAATCAAGATAATGCTACTATCATTCCAAAAGGTCTGATTGATCGTTCATACCTGATACCTGGAAAATGAATGAGATAAACATTGAACACTGAACACTAACGATGGAAATTAAGTAGGGCTGTCAATTAAATTAATGAAATTTATCAATTAAAATATTATATGATACAATTATAAGGGAAAAAATAGGCATTCAGGGGGAGATTAAAATCAATTAATTTTGACTACATTTTAAAATCACTATTAATACTTTCATTGATTAATTGATCTATTAAATTAATGGAATTGACAGCATTAAAATTACAATTATGTCCTTGCTATATTTTGATCCTTTCATACAGCCTCCATGCTCAAGAATCTACTGATCTCCAATTCATGTTTGTTGCAGGCACATTTAGATGGTCCAACTTTTTGGCCTGTAGTGGCCACATTGAATTTGGGAAGTCATACAATGCTGGATTTCTACCATCCCATCCCTGATGCCTCAACTACTCAGGTGATGCTGCATCTGTAACTGTTGCATGTAAAATCCAGTTCAAAATCAGGATCGAGGCAACCTGCATGAAAATGTTTTATATGGTCATATATGGCAGGCAGTATGATTCTATGTACAGTTGTTGTGTATGTATATATACAGGTATTTGCCATACAGTTCCTTTGGCTTTCCCATGTCAGTGCATGCTTATATATATAGGGTGATTTAAAAAAACCTACCATTTTCTATGGGGAGGAACACAGCTTCATGACTGCAAAAAAATTATACTCCTAATGATGGCAGATTCTACTTCTACCAAAGCCCAAGTCTGGGGGCTCAAGTCAGTTGCAAATAGGCTACAGGCCCATTGTAGATCTTGGGGATAGGGGTGAACTGTGTGGATTGTGAGCATGTATGCAAATACAGACAATAAGCCTGCTATTTTGGGCGGTCTGATGGTTTGCATGTTGGTTACACAATCCGCTAGACAATGGCATTGCAGGTTCGACACCAGGCAAAGCAAATCTCTGACTTTGAGACCCTTTGTCCTTACATCTTCAGGATCCCTTATCAACATCTCTCTGCACTCAAATGTATATATCCATGAAAAAATGTACACTTGAGAAGTTCAACATCTCCATTATGGAAAGGCATAAGACAGTGACATTTTAGGGGGATATGGGGTCATGGGATTTTATTTGAAAATGTTTATTAAAAAATTTTAAAGCTTTATTTTTTCCCATATTTGCACTCTTGGTAGTATTGAACCGCTACTGAAAGTATGCAATAATTTTTGGCCATAGAAAAGTCATGACTTTGACTAAGAAGCAGGGAGGCGAGCTAATAAAGCTTTTCTACACCAACAAGTGTAATGCTGTTGTTGCCTTACAAAAATATCACACAGTACACAACCTGCATTTGGGACCCTGCTCAAGACAAGCTCTGATGTATTTGGTCTACAAGTTCGAGGAGACAGGTTGTGTTTGCAACAAGCTGCATGGAAGCAGGCTGTGAACCCCTGTAGATGATGTCACTGAGGTGAACAGAGGTGTGATTGACGAAGAGCCTAGCACAAGTGCACATGGAATGAGCAGCAGTTGTGCTGTTGCCTGCCTTCTGGATCTTCCCCTTTCAACTGTGCACAAGGTTCTAAGGCAAACTATGCAAATGTTTCCATACTAGCTAAAACGTGTCCAAATGTTTGTTTGTTGCATGTGCCCTTGTGGTAGGCTCATTGTCAATTGCACCTCTGATTTCAGTGACAACATCTACAGAGGTTCGTGGCCTGCCTCCTTGCAGCTTCTTCCCAACACAACCTGTCTCCTCAAATTTATCGACCAAATTCATCAGAGCTTGTCTCGAGCAGGGCCTCAAACGCAGGTTGTGTGCTGTGCAGCATTTTCGTAAGGCAACAACAGCTTTACACACTCTGCTTCTTATTCAAAGTCATGACTTTTCTATCTACGACCGAAAATTATTACATACTCTTCATAGTAGTTCAATACTGCCAAGAGTGCAAATATGGAAAAAAATTAAACTAAACAAATTTTTGCAGAACAGTCTCAAGTAAAAATCCCATGGCCCCCTGAGTATCCCCCTAAAATTTCACTGTCCTATGCATTTCCATTCTGGAGATATTCAGCTTCAAAAGTGTAAGTTTTTTTAAGGACACCCTGTATATACAGGGTGTAACAAAAGTCAGAAATCATAGGGAAATAACATGGGGATCATTTCCAGCCTAGATTGCCTGAAACTTATTAGCTATTCTGAGTTGATTCTGAAACTCCTGAGTTCCCTTAATCTCAAGGTCTGGCCCAAGTGGCCCAAAATGATACTGGGTGACCCAAAGTGGCCTAATTTGTCCAATTGACTGAATATGGGCCTAATTATCTGAGAGTGATATAATTTTGCAAAAATTGAAAGTGACCAAATTTGACCCAGAGTTGCACATAGTGATCCATTTTGACCCACAGTGATGGTGGTTAATTTGCCATTGAAAGAGTATTAACCTTTTCAGTGGCAAATTAAGCAATCTCCTGATAAAAGTTTGAGTTTAACATTTTCCATACTTCCAAAGTCTTAATACATTGATAGCACTTTTATTTTCACAAATTGGTTGATTGTCTATAAAATTCAAGCATGTCTGCAAATGGAGACATTGCCATGCAGAGACAACTTTTATGCTAAGTGGAAGTCTTCCTTTATTTTTTGAAGTGGAGGAAAGATCTTGAGTTATAGCTTGACATTTTGGCCTTAACCAAAATATTCATCTTAGGTCTTCATGTGCCAGTTTGCAAAAATCTGCTTGGTGTGAATATGCCAAATTGAGTTTTTGGTCTTCAGTTTCCTTGTTCAGAGTTGTACCTTCATCTTTCTCCTGGATTCAACATTCTTTGGTGCAGAATCTATATATCTGAAATCAACACATTTTAGGTGCCAGAAAATATGCCATACAACTTTTTGATTTGCGGCCATTACCTTATCAAGGCTGGTCAACATGTCCATTGTATCAGGAGTCAGGAGTCAGGAGAGTTAGTGATATCAAGAGGCGATTTCGCCCATTTCGATATCACGTGTCGAGGTCGAGCGTTCCTTAATTTTAGGGTAGGCCTAACCCTCTTAAAGCTATATATTTTTGTATTTTTGTTTGTTAGTTTTTTTTTTTTTTTTTTTTTTTT